TGCATGCGTAAGTAATGACTGCACGACCATCAGTCATTGAAACCTTGATACGACATTCCATTTTACCACAAAGAAATTATGTGTGTTTGTATCTTGTACGTTTTGTTATAAATGTAAGACACTACCAACAATTAACGAATCATTCTGGAGATGTTCAGAGAAATCTGACGTTCAATCTGCTTTCAGAGTAAAAAAAAAATTTGTCTCTTCATTGCATGTTGGTCAAAAGTCATGGGGAAGTGATGTATGCAAATTTAAAAAAAAAATGCATAAACGAATTTGCATATGCTAAAAAGAGCAAATTCACGCCTCTGATTTGCAACCAACAATTCATTCACTGAACTGCATCAAGACTAAGTAAAAAAAAACGTTGAAAAAACTCTTGGATACAGCATGCACAAGCAAAAAGAGAAAGTTTCTAATTCAATTGTCCGAACTATGTTTCAGCGATGTTCACGACTTAACCATTTAATATTTTAAAAACAAGTAAAATAAAAAGAAGAATTTATTTGCTGGTTCAGAATATGAATCAAATGGTTGTTTATTCGATAGAAATTAAATTGCTTCATTTATTTCTCATAATTGTTATCACGGCATTTACGGCTTGTTTGAATTCATGCTTCACCTATCAGCGAGCAGAGTGCTTTTGACTGGCAAATAAAGGCATGCACAAAAAACGATTGGTCACAATTTAAACATTTACTAATATTAACTTAATTTTGGCTGTGAATTATCCATTGAATGAATTTCATTCGAATTCAACCAACGATACGGCACAACACAGCATAGCCGGTTAATGTAACGTCTTATCCAAATCGCTTCACTGTTTTCCGAATCTTCGTTGAATAATTATAATTAAAAGTAAATAAAGACTATAATTAAGAGAGTCAATGAGATGATGATTGAGTATAATTACTGAAAATCATGCTGCAGAAGATTCGATAAAAGTGAAACCTATCTCAAGTCGGATAAATTCGGTTTATTTCATCATCCAGCGTCGTTAACATTTGTTTTTTCTGCAAATGAAAAAATCAAAATAAATCCAGAATAAAAGCCACAAATTGCCTAATGACTGCAAACCGATCTAATGCAACTTTAATCCAATTTGTGACAAGAAATATTGCGGCCATTTGTTTTTCTTTGGAAATATTATACCATAATGTCGTGTAATTAAGTGTTCGGCAACATTTTATTTGTAGTGGCTCTAAATGTAATTGATCATTTTGCGGCATGTGAGTGGATGTAAAAATTTATCGTGTCTGTGGAACCACGTGTTGACCATTAAATAAAAAAACAACAATAATGAAGCCCAAACTCAGGCATTGCATGAAATGGAGGTAATAAGCTTGAAAAAGAAAATCATATGAGATCGGTAATAACAAGGCGATACCCTTGATATAATGAAATACTTTTACAGCAAAAATTCATGTATTTGTTTACGAATTGCGTTGTCCATGTGCACAAAGCGCCGAATCGCGGCGACAGATGCAACATCAATTCCGATATGCATACGTGAAGTGAATTGAATTGATTTGTAGGTTTTGCACAGTGTGGGAGCAAATGCGACGTAAAAGTGAAAATGACTTTGCATATATGCATCAATTCGATTTATTCACATTCACAATCACGATTGCGTCCGGCCAAATCAATGTCTCTCTAGTTTGACACTTTTCCATTCGACGTGATTGCATACCGACAAAAACAAAATGTCCATAATATCTTCACACTTTGAGTGATGAGTATGGATCACAAAACGGAAATGGATGCGGTAATCGAGTACATTTGATAGTAATAACAGCAATCTTCGTAACGATAATTGTGGTTGGTGATCTTTCGGTTTCACTGTTAGTGCCGCAAAAGATCGACGAAAAACATCAATGGAATAAAATGCTGACGAAATAAAGAAAAACATAATGATTGTATTTTCATTGCAAATTGAGATTCGTTCATGCTTATAACCCTTGATCTATTCAGTTCACTTTTTTTCGGATCATTTTCCTCATTTCAGTGTGGTATGCAGGTCAGACGAAGTGGATTGTGGAAGAACGGAACTATGTCTAACTGGAAAAATACACGAACAACTCTCTTTCGTTCCTCTCTCTTTCTCGCTCGCTTGCTGTTTCTCCCTCTTTCTTTTCTTCTATATTTCTCATTCATTTCGAACTTCGTTAATTGAGCTTGAGCAGCATTTAATTGCGACCATTGTCTCATTGATTTCATGATCTTGTCTGCATCTTATCTATCGTAGCGCCATGAGAGATTTTTCATCACGGTACTTTTTGTTTTTGCGTTGCTGCTTCTGTTTTAAATCTGTAGTTTTCATTCGTTTTTGCCTACGATTTCGTTTTAATTGCAGCTAAATAGATATACGATAGTGCGCGCGTGTATTAATGTAGATGCCAGTTGCTTTGCAATTATTCCAAACGAAAAACTGTTGATGTTTTTGGTTTTTTTTTTTTTTTTTGCTTTGCTCGTCTTTTTTTTACATTTCACTTTTGGTGTTGCTTTTTGCAATCGGGCGAAAGTCAAACGAAACAGAGAGTGATTAAGGGCGTTGAAAATTGTCGATTTATCATTTGATGTGTATTTATAATATTTTTCGCACTTTTTTCTTCTCACTTTTTTTTTCGAAATACACTTTGTACATTTTGTGTGTTGAACATTGTTTTTGTGGCGATTACCTAATAGTTAAATGGAGATGAAGATTCGCACGATAAATAATTATGAATTCGGTAGACATAGCGAAATCACAATGAAGATAAATACGAGCGAAGCAGTGGCTGAGTTCAGCGTCAATACGAGAATGCATTTGTTGTTAAGGAAAAAATCACTCGTTTGAGGAAAACGGAATTAGGAAGATTTCGCTTCTCATTATTTTTTTTATACATATATATATTCCGAACTTGATTACTATTTCACCTGAATTCTGCGAAATGTTACGATGTAGCATAACGGTAATATCTGTGTAGAAAAAATAATCAAATGATAGTGGTAATGTTTATTTGTATTTGTTGAAGCCCAGAAAACGAATGACCAAATTTAGAAATTGATGTGAGAAATGACCTTCTGCAAATTTGAAAAAAAAACCCGCATGGAATCAAATATTTGGACTTTGTAACACCTTTATGAATGATTTGCGATGAGCATTTTACGTCTTTAAGCATACACATAAACAAACTTTTGCCGATTATTTTGACATTAGGTTACGGCATTCTTCCGTGCAATAATAAGTTTGCCAAAAATTTCAATTCACATACATACACACACACATAATAAGAACTGCGCAAGCATCAAAGATGATTTTATAATAATGCAAATGTCTGTTTATTGGGCACGCCATTTGTATGTCCATATTGGGGCGTTCTTCTTACTAGCTTAATGTGAATGAAATGAAATCAATTCGTAAAATTTATAGCAATTTCGGAATTCAATTTCTGCACATGGTATTCGCATTCAATAAATATTATTGCGAATCGGTCTTTCATTTTTCGCACAATATATGCCATTCATTCGACGCGGCTGCGATTGACATACACGATGCCAAGAACTTATGCAACACCAAATTCATTGTTCATGTCATGAAGAAAGAAGAAGAAAAGAAAAAAACCTAAGCCAAACAACAGCAACGACGTACAATTGCAAAGATTGTTTGTATGCATGCGTCGTATAATAATGATATAATGATATTTATATACGTGGTGATTTTGTGCACTGCAACAACATAATTTTAAAGCGTCTTACATTTCGCTGAGTGCTGGAAAAATAAGAATAGGCCACATAAAATAATTGAACAGTCAATGTCGTATGGGTACCACTTTTCTTTCTCTTCTAAAATAGCATTTCATTTTATTTTCGTCACGTTGACAAAAAGTGCAACGATAAGACTGTGTAGGCATATATTTATTTTTCGTCTTTTGTTCATGTGTTGATTTTCTCATCGAACTCCATGGAATTGCTTGTTCGAAACGTTTTTTTTCCACTCTAGCTCAATATTTGCCAATAATGTTGGGTTTGTTAAGTGCAACTCACAGTATTCGACGCGTTGCAAATTTGTAGTCAGGTCTTAAAAAATGTCTTAATTAATACTGATTCACGTACTACCAGTCGCCCGCTGAGGGAGGAAAGAAAACAATGCACCAAACATGATTGTGTGAATTTGTAAAAGAAAATTATTAAACAAAATTATTTCAAGCAATTCACCATAGACATCGAAATAGTCTAGACAATAAACATTTTTCGAAATGGTTTTCGACAATGGTCCATGTTTTCCCACCATGTCGATATTGAAAGTGATGGCAGACTTTAGTCGGACACTGAGTGATGAAAGCTAAGAGAAAAAAAGACCATAAACATAAAAACAAAGCAAAAATATTCTGCTACTTAATCGGTTACGATGATAATTGTTTGCTGTTTACTACGCTGTGGCGAGAACTTGTTGAGAAATTTAACCTTTTTTATGCACATTCACCAAAAACCGGATTTCGTTCGTATAAAGTGGTCCGAAAAAAGTGAAATTACATGCGAATAAAAACAAACACATGCCTGAGATCAAAACATTAATCTATTTTATGTCGTGGTTTTTTTCTCTGCATAAACCAGTTCTTACGCAGTCACAATAAAAACAAACATATGCAATTGGCTCAGAATTAAAATTAAAAGGAAAAAAATGAAAAAAAAAGAGTCTAAAACTTAAATATTTTATGGTTCGTTGATAATACCAAAAAAGTTCCTTTCCGAAAAATGTTGCAGTAAATTTTGATAAAAGTTAAAAATATCAACCGTCAAAACTGTCGATTTAAGAGAAAAAGTAGGGCTGTATGTAGTATGTTTGTGCTTAATGGAATTCTTTTTTATTTCGTAAGTGATACTTTGGCGGTCAAAATTGGCTTTGAAATCCAAGCAATCGTATTATTTAAAGAAATGAAACTTATATGGGAATTGAAGGAAACAATGAACCTTGGAATACGTATAGAAATTCTTTTTTCTTATTGTTTTTGTAGGAAAAGTATTGGTACAGCCGAGAGATTTATGTGCCATAATTGCACTTGCCCATTTGTTCACCCGTGCCAAAAGCTAGCTGAACTGATTTAACTGCAATAATGACAGTTGTACATATCTATTTGTTGGTGTTATTTTGGGCTCCGGTGATCTATGGGGAGATTCAGGCCAGTGGACCACCATTAGAGGATATCAAACAATGGAATGTGTTGACATACAATCTACCATGGGATGCACCTACTAACAATAAAGACTTCTACAATCCAGTATCAGTAGTTGCAACCGGCATTGCTGTTGATTATGAACGTATATTTATTGCAACACCTCGTCTATTCAGTGGTGTCCCAGCTACCGTATCAACTGTACCAAGAAAAATCGCTGGAGATTCATCCGTTTTACAAGCATATCCGGATTGGTCGTTCCATACTGCGGGCCAACGTGCTTACAACTGTAGTGAATTAGGACTCGTATCGGTTTATCGTATGCGAATCGATTCGTGCAACCGATTATGGGCACTCGACGCCGGAGTTTCACGATCACTCGAAGATTTTGAAGTCACGTGTCCACCGAAGATTTTGGTTTTTGATTTGAATACGGATCAAGTCGTAAGACGGTAAGATTTTGAAAGTAACTTTTCTACACAAGCCAAACTATGAATCATTGTCATCTGCATGGGATTTTTCACTGTTTATTAAAAATTATTTAAATCTACAGCATTGATTTCCCACCTGAAGTGATTCGCGGTGAAACGTTGTTCACCAATATGGTGATAGATGAAACCACATCACAGCCATCGAATAATTGCGACGATGTGTTCGTCTACATAACCGACACTGTGGAACCAGGTAAAGCGAAAGCGATATGAACAGTGAACGTTTTGAACGTGTAGTACATTTAAATGTGTAATATTTCATTTGTTTCAGCAATTGTTGTGTATGACAGCGGTCGTGATCTTACGTGGCGGTTATCGCATCCTGCCATGTTTCCGGATCCAAACTTTGCGCAATCCAACATTTTAGGTCATCGATTCACGCTGATGGACGGTATTGTTGGCATCACATTTGATGCAACACTCGGAGTTGTTTACTTCCAACCACTGGCCACTGACCGGTAACAACTATCATTTCCCAACAATTTAATGTGCAAAATTTATAATATATTTCTCGTTTGGCAGACTGTTTTCAGTTAAAACCAGTGCATTGCGTGCCGGACCATTGCCATTTGGCGCTGAACTGCAAATACGTTTAGTTGGGAAAAAATCGTCGCAAGGAATTGGCTTGGCACTAAGTCCACGTGACGGCTCAATTTTCTTCAGTCCATTCAGTGAAACGGCAATCGCCGAATGGAACCCAAACACGAACAAACAAAAGTAATTGAAAATTACAATTAATCAAATGTGATATGCAGTCTAGAGTTCAATTTCTACTATTAATTCATATTTTTATTCACATTTTCCATAAATTTGTTTTTAGAGTTGTGTCGTACGACAAAGAACGTCTTCAATTTGTGGCTGATTTGAGTGCTCCAGCTCAAGATCCGGGTGCAATTTATGTGCTATCATCACGCTTCCATCGATTCTTTTTGAGAAATGTGAATACAAATGATATCAATACGCGGATTTTACGCATTGGTGGTGCTATGAATTCGCCGCAACAACAGCATTTGCCTGGAAATATACTGGCACCAGGTTACACCGGTCAAGCGTATACCATTGGCAATACAAACCTGTTTCCAACGTCTCCACCATCACCCCTTTTATACAAAACCGAAATAACACATGCACCATTCTCGCCAAGACCAATTACAGACATTAAATCCACCTTTGTCGATAACTTTTTCAATAGCATTCGGCAACCATACCAATATGAACCGGTTGGTGTTATTAATAAGGCAATAAAAAATCCATTTACCGCTTTAAATACGGGTGAAACTCCCGAAATATATCTAAAAACGCATCAACCAACGTATACCGCCTTCCAGAAGACATCACAGAGCTTTGGCTCACTACAACAGCCAATTCTAAGTCAAACCTATGGTTTACTTGACAACCAAAATTTCCTAACAAAAGTAAATCCAAGTTTCAGCGATTTTAATAGCATAAGACGTGCAAAGAGTATCGCATTTAATTCAACGGCACTTCATTAAACGAACATCAGAAAAAAAAGTCAACACCAGAAAAAAAGAACAAATTGAAACGACAAATTCACAATTAATAATTTAAAGTCGACAACTTTGCCGAAGACAATTTTCTGATATATCATTTCAGTTAGTCGTCAAAAGCTTAAGAATGAACATACATCGTTTTACATCTCATTAATGAAAATATTCTTCAATCCTTCGCAAAACCCAGTCCGCCCTTAAACTGATTTCTTTTCATTGGTTTCTTTTCAATTGAATTGAATCAAGCCTTGTATTTGCCATATTTTTATGCTAGGATAGATTTTCTATTCCAGCATAATTTATCGGCATATGATGCATACAAACACACACGCTTGCGTCTCGCTGTACACGGTCGTTCGCGCGCACGCAAACATGTACTCACAACAATACCGCATACTGCACGAAAACTTGTTTGCGCACACATCTTCCGTACATTAACGACCGTGCACTGAGCGAGGCAAGCGTGTGTATTTGTGTGCACCGCATGCCGATGATCTATGCTGGAATAGACTATCTATCCTAGCATAGAAATATGGCAAATACAAGGTTTGAATTGAATTGGATCAAAATACTCAACTGTCGAATCAAATGCCATACACTTTATTCCCTTCTGACACCCCACTTTCCATCCAAAATCATTGAACTATTTTAGACGATAAGTGAAGTTGAATGATGTTTTCAAACTAAAGTGTTAGTAATTTATTTATGTATGCATTTATAATATTCTTGTGCGATACTCAATCAGCTGCCCCAATGCTTATTTAATAATAACAACAACCGAAAGAATAGCACAAAAAACGAACAGTATTTCAATTATTAGTGAAGATAATACTTATTACATATTTCGATTTCAATGATATATATGCAGGGAATTTTATAATTGAATGCCAATCTCTTTTCGTAGGTTCCGGTATGGGTTAATTTTAATTCCTTCAGTCAAACTTCCTTTGTTTCTTTATTGGAAAGTTTAGTGAGTCTCAATATATTTCCTAAGAGCTAAAAACCATAGATATATTTGCAAAAATGGGCTCTCAGTGGCCCTTAGCATGAAATCATGGTGATTTAATCGAAAATGAAACACTCTGTAGCTGTGTAGCCTCAGTAAAATGGCCTCTGAGGGAAAAAAGTGCCCATACACTTTTTCGTGGCAGAGAGATTCTTATGTAGTAGATTTGCATTCAATTTTAAAACACACTGTATATATTTGAATTTTACATGCAGATTATGCAGTTGAACCGAATTCGAATATCATTTAAATAGTGAAATGATGAGAAGAGAAAAATAAAAATTTTGTTACCAATCAATTAAAATAGCTGACTCTCTATATTTTATATGACCAGAATTACATTTATTTCAATGTAAATGCGTTGTATTGTACGACTTGAACAAAATCGTTTTTTTTTTCTGGTGTTTTGTTGTTTCTTCTTTTCACACAGAGATGGCGAAGCGTATCCAATATTTTGTATCATCGCTTTCTATGTTTATACTTGAGTATTTTAATTTTTATTGATTTAGTTTGAACTATTAAAAAATATATTCAATTTTTCTTAACATTTGTTTACGTTTCGAACAATAACAAGCTTTCAATTTAATGTTGAAAATTTTCATCGGTCGCACATGTAAAAAAACAATATAAACCTTACAGATGTTTCTGTAATTTATAGAACTGTCAAAATCTCATGACAAGCGATTATCGTAGCTCGATTGCACATTGACTGAACACGTAAACAAAGGATTGGCACTGGATTTCAGGACGTTTTTATTTTCAATAGAATTTCATTGGATTTGCTAAGTTCATAAACCTTAAGTTAAAAGTGGAAACAAATAAACAAACACTTAATCAATATGACAAAATTAATGGAATGGTTGGGTGCGCTGATTGGGTTTTTAGCTGTCTACCTATACCTGCTAACCGGCGAACCAAAAGTCTCCGAAGAAATGATGCTGCACATTAAATTCCTACCAATTTACCTGATCGGAATGTTTGGAGTAAGTAACACAATTGCGATTAGATACAAGTTTTAATTGTCTATCATTGAATTTATTTATTTTGTTCATACTAATTGTATGTTATTTTCAATATATTTGTAGGGTTATTCAGTGTACACCGTTTTATATCGTGTCTTCACATTCAACGATTGTCCCGAAGCAGCCGAAGAAATTCAAAAACAAATTGAAGAGGCAAAAGTCGACTTGTCAGCTAAAGGCATGCATTTTTAAGTGTTTAGTGTTTTTTTTTTTTCGAGCAGTGATACGCCACACGATTTCATTCCATAAATCAGTTTCGTGTTCCACTTGGATCCCCAACTAATCAAAATCGAATATTACTTTTGAAAAGGCATCTCCTAGCTCTTTTCATGAATCGTGTAAATAAATATGTTTGAATAATCCAATTGAAATAGTCTTTATTCTCATCCAAATTTTATTACTTATGTCTACAAAATGGGCAATATTGATTCAACAAACTGCATACTACGCCATCTGTGCTCTTTACGAAATATATTCGACTTTGACTTAATGGTTTGGATATTCGCTTGAACTAAAGCTCGACGGAGCGAAAGCAAATACGAAAAGAACACAGAGTATGAAATTATTACTTTCTGAAAATGACTTACCATATTATTTGGAAAATTTAAAATAGAATATTATTATGAGCTGTACAATACTTATTCAGCTGAACAATATTGCTATTAAATGTAATTCCAGCTCATTGCAGTGCTTATCTGAGTGGTAAGTAATCGAACTATTTTTTCTGTTATTTAAGCAAAAAAAAAAATGGACTTTCGAATGAAATGAAGAGAAATGAAAAAAAATGTGCCATACGAACAATGTCAAACAGCCGAGCTTCAGAATTATTTTCAAGTCATTTGGATTGTGCCCTAGATCTATTAGTATTATGACGATCATCTCATAAATTAAACCAAGTGGAATTCAAATTAAGAATTTCTTTGATGGAAGAGCAAACAAATTGCACAGATTTTTATCCACAGGCTGTAATAAAAAGAGTGCCTCAGTGGTGCATGCACATCTTTATCTTGTCCTAGGGCATTTATATTACAAACAATTGACTTCATGTCAACAATTCGGATTTCATTCGTCTGGCAAATGTATGGATTATTGGTGCATAAGCGTATTAAATGAAATGAAATGTAGGAAGAGAAATTTCTCTCTTAAATTGTCCAATTTTTTTCTAGTTTTAAGCCTACTTAAATTCGTCGAAAAAAAATAACGCAAAAATTTTCAAACGCAATTCTCCGGATCGAATCAGTGTGATCAAAGGATAGAATGTTCCTCTTACGGACACGGTTATGAATGTTACACCATTTTTAGCTGAAATAGGCTGCAGATACGAAAAACCTTCTGCTACCCATGAAAAATTTGCCAGAGAAAATTTTGTCGCCATGCACATTGTAAAAAAAATTCGTCGATTCGTCGGGATTATTGTTCAAAAAAAGGTCAATTCGTGGCGAAGTTATCATTTTGGAATATTTATATTTTTTAAAAATTTATTTGTTTGTTTTTCACCGCGATTTTTTTCTTGCCGAACTAGGCTATAAAACAGAAAGTAGTCCCACGAATTTTCTAGTTTGAAAATCTTATATAGTGAAAATATAAAATTCTTTGTTTTGTTTTGTTTTGGATCATCCGAAATGATTGATGTGAAAAGTTGAAAATTGATGCGCACGCGTTCTTTCTTTTTATCATTTCATCAATTTCTATATTTCGAAAAAAAGAAAACTATGCCTTTTTGATGAATCATTTGAATACTTTCTCGAATAACAACCGAAAGAGAGAAAAAAGAGTCTCAATGAACGCATGAGGAACCTAGGGGTTTCACGCAAACTCGAAGGCCGAAGGTTTTACTAAATAGCTGGAAATAAAACCATTTTATGTGTAAACTATAGATATTGCTTCTTTTTATTCATAAACTCGAATTTTTTTAGAATTTTTTGAATCTAAAAATTTTGGAAGTGGGTTTTGGTGGATCCTCAGGATTGTTCAAAATCGCTCCTGGTTCTGGAAGTGCAACCTCAGGATGGACCAGGGCATTGTCAAACCCAGTCTGATCCATCCTGAAGATCCACCAAAACCCACTTCCAGAACATAATTTTCAAGGTGAATGTTGAAATATTTCGAAATAATACGGATTTTGGTGAATCCCAGAGAATTTTAGAGAAAAGAGAGAAATATTGAAATTTTAGATGAATTTTAAGTTGCGTGAAACCCCTAGTGAGGAACGTTATGCAGATGTCTTTGGCCTCTTTCTTTCATTCTCCATAAAAATCTATTTACTTAAAACGTTATTATTAATATTTATTAATCATTTGCAAACATAAATACAGCTTCATTCACAGCACAACGTTTGATGCTTCTTGCCCTGATCGGCACGGATACTTCGCGTATTTCTGAAGTAGAAAAAAAACGTACGGTAAATCCGTATTTATTACAGCTTTCAATATCAAATTCGAAATTTGTTCCTGATGGAATAAGTCAAAAATACGTTGGTAAATACCACCCTTTTTCGTTCAGACCGACGAAAAAAAATGTGTCGAAACTCTACGACACAAATCCAAAGAGTTTGTTCGGAATTATTCCAAATGATCAATTGGATTTTGCTAAAAGATGGGAAATGTTCAATGAAAACCGCGAAAAATGAAACTCTCCAATGAAAAAAAAAAGTTTGATTTTGAAACTGAATTGTCTGGCTATTCGTCAAAAATTCAGAATTTTTTTTTACGGTATTTGGAATATATATAGAATACGGCACAGTTTAAATAATGTTTTTCCGAGGATAATTTTGCATCATTGTTGTGTGCATGTGTCGAAATGGTATTTTTTTTCTTCTCCACTTATTTGTCTTTGTTCTGGTTTACACTTTACGCGAAATTGGCGAATATATGATTGCGCGCGCCACAACTTCAAATCGATCGTAATTTTTATGTCAACAATATTCTAATATCATTTGGGCATATTAGTTGAATTTGTTTGGTTTTTCTATCGGTTATATTTTTTGTAAATACATATTCAGTTGATGACTAGAACAGCATTTCAATCTATTATGTACGCTAATTATCTGATTAGCATTTCATTTTAGCTCGAATCAGAGCCTTAGCGTATAACACTTACGGTTTTTACCATGATTATTTTCTGTATTCACTCTATCGGAAATAACACACTTTTCAACACCAAATTCTCAGAATGTGCGTGTTCAGTTTGGAAGACGATACAATTTTTTAATTAATAAAAACCTTTGAACCAATATTACCTCTCATCAGTGATTTCCAATTCAAACATTTACCAATCAATCAAAATTGTTTATTTCAGTTTCTTGCTGCGAACGAAACTTTCATTGAAATAATAAAAGACATTCATTACATACACGATATCATACACTCTTTTCGTTGATCAAACACGATCGTTGGGAATTTTGCCGTAGAACTATTGACAACAACCAAGATAGAAAAAAAAATATAAGAGAGCAATAAACTTCAATATTCGATCGTACAAGCTCACTTTCAGCGTGACGGCGGCCTTTGTGCCAAGCGACCATATGATATATATGGTTCATGTATTGCCAATTAGAATAATAATGTGCACACCCGACGCATAGTTCAAAGATGTCAAGATATGTGATTCCAGTTGCGATGATGAGGAGATTAAATCAGAAAAGCCACAATAATATCAAAAATGTAGTGTTTTTTTTTTTTTTTAATTTTTTTAGGCTTTTAATTTTAAAATTACTTTTATGTAATATACAATATATATCATTATAATTAATAATAAAGCCTACCTAAAAATTATCAGTTGGAATGTGTAGAATATGCTTTCTTTAAATTTTTCATGATTGGATGTCTCTGTGTGTGAACTTATATTTTTTGTTTAATTTTTTGTTATTGTTGCAATATTTACTTCAGCGTGAGCTGCACTTTTTTTTCGTTTTCATTCAGATTTTCATTTTAAAATTTAGCGTTAGAAATTACACATAATTCTAAATTTCCTTAATTTGTCTCACATTTTCCGTTAATAATATCGACTTGATAAAATAATTTCCATTTAATATATGTGTGTGTGTGTGTGTGTGTGTTTCCTGCAGCTAAATATAGTATTCGTTTTTTTTGTTTCTCTTTTTGGATTTTTGATAGATAGGGTTTCTATCATAGTTTATTACACATACGTTCATATTTTCTCTGTGCGTTTTTTACATATCATAACGATATATTAATAATAGTACAATTAAATTTATTTTACTTTAGATTTCTTAGATAATTCTCAATAAATTTTCTGTTACAGTTTAGATGATGGGGCAGCAACGGCGTAACTACGACGATGAACCGAATAAAAACCGAATAGATCAAAGCAATCGATGCCATTATTTGTCTGTCTGTCAAATGTTGGTTTTGTGTGTGTGTGTGTGTGTGTGTGTGTGTGTGTGTGTGGTTTTTTTTTTACTTTCTTCCAGTTTACCTTAATATTACGTTTGTGTGGACTATTTGGTGTGTGAGTGTACTAAGTGTATTTAGTTGCTTAGTATTAAATTTCGTCTCGGCATATGATTGTTTCATTCAGCCAAATGCAAAACACAAATAATTAATTTCATTATTATGTGATTGTATTTATTGCATGGCTTTAAGTTTTCTTGAATGTTGTGTGTGTTTGTGCTTATTCGCTCACTATTACTTATTAGTCAAATATGCATCAATTTTTATTCACTTTTTTTTGTTAGTGTTTTGTTTTGAAGATAAATTTATGTAATGAGAAAAATCTAATTACAAATGATTTTATATTATTTAATTAAATCTTTTATGGTATTTCAAACGTTCTTACTCTTATTCAAGGAATAGTTGTAGACCTACGTAATTTTTTTTTTCTTTTATAAACTCAGCCGAATTTCCATCCGTCCCGATTGTATCAATCAAACTGAAAACTATCGCTTTTTCTTCTAACTTTCACATAGTTTTCCAGTCATAGAGTAAAATGGTTTGATCATTAATAAGAAATTGTATTAAATGTCTACTAAAAATTAAAAAAGTGGATGAAACTATACGAGACGGAAATGTCAACACGATTAATGTTACGAAATCGAATTTGGTATTTATGAAATTGATCATTACGAGAACATGATTTTATTTGCGAGTGAATTGGTTTTTCACATCGATTTTTGCCATTTCTTAAATGCCTATCTCTTCAATGAATCCACAAAACATTGCATATTGCTTTACAAGTTTTTTCTCCTTTCTCTCTGGGTCTGGCTCTCTCTCTCTCTCTCTCTCTCTCTCTCTCTCTATCTATCTCTCAAACAGAAAACTTAATTTGACATTAAATTGGTTGAATATTTACAATCTACATTTATTTTGTATGTTTCTGATTTAATTTGATGTTCCAATAAACCGATAAATGAAACGTAATACAAAATCTAAAAGCGAAAAAAAAAATTATTACCACAATACTCAGTATTTCGTTCAGTATGAATGTAATAGTTTTTTTTTTTGAAAATTTTTGTTTTGAAAATTGAAAACAAAAATCGGAAAATAATATGAAACAAAGCCCTAAGAGGAAATAACATGCTACACTGAAATGTCATAAAGTATAATGTATTTTAATTTTTTTTCAAGAGAAGAAAATTTCTATTATAACAAATGCCTGAACGGATAAAGGATACGTGTGAATGCAATAAATGATAAAAACCTCCGTTAGTCCCAAAGGGAAAATTGAATGTGCTTTTTTTTATTGTGTACGTCTAATTTGATGTGCAAGACATAGATATATAGAGCGAGAAAGAGAGAGAGAGAGAGAGAGAGAGAGAGAGAGAGAGAATTAAAGAGAGATATATATGGCGAAGGTCGCTTTTCTTATCCATTCAGATCGATTAAATTTGTATGCGTATGAGTTGATTGAGAGTGACATTGTCGCTCACTAGATAACGATTTGCAACTAGCATTTTTTGTGTTCTTTGCATGTATGTGTCAAAAAATTAAATGTTAGTAATAATTAAACAAATTATGTCAATGAAATTGTTTCATATATGCATTTTAAAATCTATTCAAAATTACACGCGCTTAATGAGAAACGATCTATATTCGCTAGAGTTTTGTTTCGCTTTGTTTTTGTTTGGGTTACCTTCATCAAAATTACCAGCAATCGCAGAGACTGCCTCCAAACTATTGGAGCTGCCGGTTTGCATCGGTAAAGAATGTATCCCCATCTCAAAAAGCTTACGATAGTTGATACTGATGTCACAAGCTGGTTGCACCTGATGTCGAATGATAGCTTAAACTGGGATAGTACGAATCTTGGGCTAAGGCTGCATGTGATGTGGGCAACGGGCTGAGTGTATTGTAGCCGGCGTACTGGCTCATGTCGTACATTTTAATATCCGCTTTTGATTCCGTGGGCAACAATCGGGTTATTGAGAATGGATGAGTGGAGGGCGTGTAGCCGCTTGGTTCTTGTTTCAAATGGTGCATTGGATGGTATTCACTTAGTAAATTCGGATGGCAACGATTTACCATGGCGGTCAATTCTTCTTGCTGGAGTTGATGATGAACGCTGTTGCCACCTCCGACGGGACCGCCATGGTGTTGTACATGCGATTGTTGACTCAAGCACAATTCGGCATTTGCATGTAACATTGCCAGCGCTTCAGCATCTTTACCATGAATATTCAGGCCAGCTGCTGCTGCTGTGGCTGCACCGCTTATCATATTGGCTAGGTGTGATTCGGCTGTGTGATTCAAACCGCCTTTATGTTCACGATTATGATGATGATGTGTGTGATGACTGTGAGTGTGATGATGATGATGTTCGTCGTGATGTGACATATCTTTTTTGCTACCAGGACTTGTCGCTTCGATACTGTGCGATGGGCTCTTGTGCGATGAACGTACTTGTTCCTTCTTTTCGTCTTTGAATCGCTTCTGTCTCCTCAGGTAGCAACCGTTCTCGAACATATTTCCCGAATCTGGATGCAAGGTCCAAAATGAACCCTTTCCTGGCTTGTCGGGTGTGCGAGGCACTTTCACAAAACAATCGTTAAAACTAAGCGAATGACGTATTGAGTTTTGCCATCGCTGCTGATTCTGCCGATAGAATGGGAACAGATCCATAATGAATTGATAGATTTCGGAGAGTGTGAGCATTCTAGACGAATTATGTTGAATTGCCATTGTAATTAGTGAGATGTATGAATATGGCGGTTTTGCGTGCGTGTAACTGCGTCGGTATGTTGATGGTTTTTCGACTCTTGCACGCTGTAACACGCCTGAATTGGGTGATCCGCCGTCGCCTAAGTCACGAGCTGAATTCAAACTACCAACGCCTGTGTAGCTGCTCATTGTGGCAGCCATACTTCCGATTCCCATATTACATGATCCCATATTACTGAGTGGCGAACTCATTGCACCATAGGACATTGCGCTCGATGTCATGCAGTTACCATTTATCGAGTTAATGGACGAACCAAGCGGTCCCATTCCGTTTGAATTTAGAACACTATTTCCGAATCCACTACTGCCGTTGTTTCCCGAGCCTTGTGGTGAGACCGACGCCATGCCCGACATCGGCATTTGATTCATATTGTAAGCACTGTTCATTGGACTCATGTTTCCTGAGCCGCCGTTACTACCATTACCATTCGACATATTTGACGCTGTTGGTGATTCTGAGTACAATTTTTGCATTATTGTTCGATTTTTCACTGATTTATTAACTTAACATTCAATCACAATATGCTGTCGAAAATTAAAACATAAAGTTCTCACACATCACACCAAATGCAACAATTTCAATTCGGTTGATCAGTTCTTGGTTGCGAACTATTCTTTCTTCAAACTGTTTCTATTGCTTTTATCCACTTTAGTTTTTTTTTTTCCTCTTGGCTCAGATATTTTTATTTTCTTCTTTTTTTTCTCTCCTTTGGATATGAAGCGCAAATTCAGATACGCTTAGTGTTCTCAATTCACTGTTTGATCGTGTTTCACTGATTGTATTTCACGTTTTCAATTCACTGATTTTGTTTCCTTAATAAATAATTCATTTCAAATCACAAAAATTGTTTAAGGAGGTTTCGAAGAAAAAAAAATTCCATCATTGCTCGTTTCAGTTGACTGTTGTTGCTGTTGTTGTTTTTTTTTTTTTTTTCTATTTCGATGAATTTCCAAATTTCCAAAATGTCATAAATATGATCAGTTTGATTTTGAAGGAAGTTGGATTTTGAACATTGAACACTAATGAAAATATAACGAGGCTTTAAAATCAACAAAAAGCTCTATTTGACCTTTTTTCGCAGAGAATGTTGCGTTCACGTTGATAAACACGCATAATAAGATGCGTCTGTTTACATTCACGAATGTCTACTTACTATTTGGCTTACTAACAATGTTTTACTGGAGTGCCTATAGTTCAACATATAGAATATAAAAAAAATACATGCATTCACATCGAACACACCACTACACACGCACCGCTATACTGGAACAAGGAAAAGAAAACGAAAAAAGCTGCTTATAAACATATGCGTGTAGAACATCGCCACTTGTGCATGTATATCCGTTGCTGCTAGTTGAAAATCGATAATGCAAAGTAAATGAAATGAAATGAAATAAATAATGTATGAGAGAACATATCAATTTTCCCTGCCCTACTCATCTCTTTGATGGCATTACGCTTCCATCTCCTTCTCGCTCGCACATTCGTTATCTGCAGCAGTATATTGCGCCGTTACTGCCACAGCACAGCACACAGTATCGCACAAATTGTACAGCTGTATGGGTGAAGAACGAGCAACACACACGAATCAACGTGCAATGAACAAACGATCGATAACCCATACACAGACGCATTATTACGGAATATTTGGCCCACCAATCATATACACGCGATTGATATCTCTTGTATACTGCTTTCAACTACAGCTGCATCTCGCTCGGAATCGGCTTCGTAAACCTGTATCCATTTGAAACGCATGCTTTAAACAGCCATTCGAATAAATCTGCTATCGTCTGCTTTGCAGCAGCAAAGACGTTCCTCAGTGTATTTTTATAGTCCGTACTCTGCATGCAGTGAGAAGAAGGCGGTTCTGTGACGAATCAAAGTCCGACCAGAGCCAACCTCTTTTCACCACTACATACATACAATGTTTGAACATTCTCAGCGCGCGCACATAATATTTGTATGTTGTGCACAGCAATTTCGGTGGATTTATAAATGTGTACGCCGTTTTGTGAGGTTCAGTCGGTCGCTCGCTCGCTCGCTCACTCGCTCTCTCTCTCCCTCTCATTCAACTGCTATGAACGGATGAGCTAATGAACAAAAAGAATGACGAAAAACCAGTTGTATACCAGAGATTTCTAAAAATAAGCCTATGCCCGTTGCGCATACACGGTACATATTCCCTGCTCGTCACACCCGGCCTGCATTTCGATGTGCTTCTCTCTCTCTCCCTCTCTCTCTATCTCTCTCTCTCTCTCTCTCTCTCCCTCTCTCTTTCTCTCTCTCTCT